GACCCGTATGGCTTTCTGACCATAGTGATCCTGGACACCGCTCGTCATCATCAGTGCAGCGCTGTTGTGGAAGCTGGCCAAAATGATTGAGGCCAGGGAGTAAGAGCAGAAGTAACAGAAATGCCAAGACACAAGTACACACACGCATACTGTTATATATATAATATACATACATGCATACATACATACTGTGTGTGTGTGTGTGTGTATGTATATGTATATATGTAGCAGAGTAGCAGAGGAAGGAACATTGATGCTGAAAATGTAATATAGACACTGAAAATGGAATAATTGTTTGCACAAAAGCAGAGCAGTCTCGTGTGAAGAATCTTTGACTAGCTGATTTATTTTGGTCTGTGTGGTCAATATATGAATGCATGCTGTGGGTATATTCATTACTTTTGCTGAGTTGTGATGATGTATTTAGGCTGTCCGGAATCCTTCTATTAAATAGTGCTAAATATTTCAATCAGAAATTGCTCTGTAGCTGCTTTTGTATTACATACAACTTCTGGGGGTAAATTCATCTCTGGTGCAGCATCACTGACTTCAGTGGATGTACATTGGGGAAGAATGTGGCCCTAGGCCCATAAAAAAGGGTGCTGGTATTCCCACATAGAGTGTGTGGGATTTCTACAAATACCTTCATGTATTTCTCAGTTATTAATAATTCTCTGCATCATATACACTCCACCTGCTGATAATACCACTCTGTTTCCAGATGACTTTATGCAGCTCCCCTGCCATTGCACATTGGTGAATATTTTCTTGAAGAGCCATGAAAATTAAATTTGTCTAGTGCCTTTTTCCCTGGCTTGTAAAACCTCTAAGCTGTGAATGCTTTATCAGCACTTTCCTGGCCATGCATGGCACATCTACAGTGTGTGCAGACTAGTAAGCATTCTGTTTCTTATAGTTGTTCTTGAGCCAAGAAAACTCCTTTGTATCCATGGGGATGAAAGCTGCTTTGTGTGCTACAAATCTTTATTTAAAAACATTGGTGTGTTATACTGAAGTGGATCTGCAGTACATCTTTATTCTCTGGATTATAGGAAGGGCCCCTTACAGTTGTAGTACTGCTGCCATTCATATGGATTGGTCTGCAGTTCTCAGGAAAATAGTTGAAATCATCAGTAGTTCTGATGCTGTGCTAAATTCACTTCCAATCATCTTTGTAAGCTTGTTTCCTGTCTAAGCTGTCTTGGGTGAGGTCTGAGCCTGGACAATGTTTGACGTACCGTGCATACTACTGGTAGTTTTTGCAACTGGCTTTTAGAAACTTGATGAAGCAAAAAGGTATGATTGTGCCATGTCAGATTAAAGTATGAAATACTAATTCTGTGCTTTAAGGGGGTCTCAATTATTTTTCTAGAAGCACTGGTTTTCTTTTTCTTAGAATGGTTTGGGCCCCTGTGTATTGGAAGAAATTGAACCATGTTTAGCTTCAGTCTATCCCTGGCTATATCATAACGTTAACTGAAGGGTTTAATTTTTGTTTGTGTGCTTGTTTGTATTGGGTTTTTTATCTTTTTTTTTTTTACAATTCATCCAATTTAGAGTCCAAAACAGGAAAGGGATTGCTCAAAGACATGAAGGGAAATTGTGTTGCTTAGGAGATTAGTAATAGGATATAGAGCCTTTCATCTCTTAGAACACTACTTGAAATCCACCCCAGGATGGTAATGACTGAAATGGCTGTTTATTAGGTTGGGTTTTTTTTTAACAGGAGGTGGAAAAATAACCTCGTCACTATTCTACCTTTTTATTTTTAATCTTCAAAGCATTTTAGAGAGGCAGCTAAATCTAGTAGTTAAGGTAAGTGACTGGGAGTTATGGGCTCTTTTGGCACTAGTCCTTGGTAAATTGTTTCCATTTTCTAACCCGTGAGAGAGGCTACTGCATTTGTTCTGGAAGTTACTCAAGCACTTTACAAGGTGGATACAAGGTGCAGTTCAAATAGAAGGGATTAGCAGAATTAGTAGGATCCAGATACAATTTTCCCCTGGTATTATAGGCTCTTGAATTCAGGATTCTGTCTGTTACAAAACTGTGCACCAGTTATGCACACTGGATCTAAAGATGGACTGTCCGCAAGGCTGGGGCATGAAGATGATGGTTCAGATATAGGATTCTGCATCAGGGATGTCTCCGTTCAGGTATTGCATATATTAACTATATAAGTTGATAGTCTTGATTTTAGTATGTGGGGGTCCATCTTTTTTAAACTGCCATCACCCTTGTCACTAACAGGAACACAGGTTGACAGTTTCAACACAGAGGTCAAGGACTCATTGGACAGGGCGACTGAATAGCCCATTGTTCCTAGAGCAGGTATCTTTAGAATTAAACTCAAGCATATTCTGAGTTTGCAGTACTCCTGTCTGTCTGTCTGTATGTTCTTTAAGAAGAGACAGAAGTACATATAGCCAATCCAGAGAGCTCACAAGCAAGCAGAGTTGAAGATGTGTTTTTTTTTCTTGAAGACTTCCAGGGAATGCTCAGGAGCTGTAGAAATTAGTGCTGTTGTTTCCCTAAGTGGCACACTGCCTCTGAATCAGAACTGAACAAATATCCCAGAATGTTGCTCAGATGACCCACACTGTGTGAGTTAGTGCAATGTGGATGCGATGAAAGAAAAAGGTCCTGATCATCTGGAATAATAATTCTTAGTATTTATATAGCACTTCATTGCTTCAAAGAGTTTATTAACATTTTTGTGATCAACAGCAAGTATTCTATGATGCCTCCATAACATCTTCAATATTTGTTCCAGTATTTGCATATGCTGTTGTGTAGTGTTTCTCTATGTTACCTGCTGCTTCACTTAGTGTTTTAAAGATAAGCAAAGTGTGTGCCTTTGTGTCCCTACCTACAGATACAAACAGTTTATAATCTCATGATGGATCTTTAAGGATGAAAGATGCTTTATAAATGTGAGATTAGTCAAGTCTTCAGCTACTGTTAGGCTGCTCTTTGTCAGCACTTATAAAAGTGAGAGACAGTTAAAGGGCCACAGTTAGTCAGGTTAGTCTGAAGTCAAACAGAAGGCAGGGTAGCTTTGTACCTTATATAGAATAACTACATTAGAGCTATGTATTGAATAAGCTTTCCTGAGCTGGTGCTCACTTCAAGTCTGATGAAGTGAGCTCCAGCTCACACAAGCTTCTGTGAAACATAGCTCTAACATAGTTAGTCAAAAAGATGTACATGCCATACAGTTAAAGCAGTGATTCTCAAGATCCATTTGAAGGATGATGGAGGCAGTGTGAGCTGTAAAACAATGTGTATGAGGAGAGAAGCAGATATGGGCAGACTGAAGTTCTCCAAGCGTAGCCAGTCCTCTGCCTCCACTGTCTGGCCCCTCTGCACGGAGGTAAGCACTGTCATAATAAACTTGTTTTTGAAAAGTGGTGCTGCCCAGAAGTTATAGAGGGTGCCTTGAATTGATGAGGGGTACCTTTAGTATGGAAGGGTTGAGAATCACTGAGTTTAAGGAAAGGTTATATTGACACTGATCTCATCTGATCTGAATGAGTGCAAACTTAAATTGTAAAAAAAAAAAAAAGAAAAGAAAAGAGACTGATACTGGGTATGTGCCTGTCTGTCTGTTTCTCACCTGACTGCAATTTTTTAGAATTGCCTTCATCACTGTGGAGTCTTAATGCCCATGGGTGCAGACACTGACACATTTAAGGTGCTGTAATCTGTCTTTAATTAAGTGCAGATGTTGAGCAGACACTGTGTACAGTCCTACACTGATGTAAATCTACTCTACTGAGGGGTAAAGCCATCCCTCAAAACCAGGAATGACTCTACACTGGTGTAAATTACACTAATGTAGGGGTCAAATGGTCACAGTTCCAGTCAGTTTCATCCCAAGGTAGTTTGCTCAATGGAAACAGGCTGTATTAGTTCTCTCATCAGATGTAATAGCATGTCCTGTGGCAGCTCCCCCAGAAGAGACGGTTGTCCACTCTGGAGCCCGATGTAACTTATATCAGTGTATGAACCAGTGTAGGGTATGTTGGCGTAAAAGTGTCATATATCCACACCCCTAGGTTACCACTGACCTGACAACCCTGCATTTCCATTGGTTAAGTATACACTCTTAAAAACGAGGCTCTTACGATACATGCTTCCAAAAATGACCTATATATCATATATATTTAACATATATACTTTGGGGCAGCTTGCAGCCAGGGTTTCACTTTCACTGCTAAGTCCATCTGCTCTTTTAAGTTTGACCATGCACATTTGTGGAGAACGCACCCGAGACGTCACTATACCGCTGGAAGTAACGCACTTCGTTCCTATATATAAAGCCGACTTCTTTATCTGAAGAGGGTTTAGTAATGGTGTCCTAAACACACTGGTATGAGGTAGCATGGAAAGAGCGCTTGCCATGATCTGATCACTTGGAAAAACCTTGGCATGATTTGATCACTAAGTGAATCGAGGTGAAAATAACTGGAGTCCCCAGTCCTCGTCAGTGCAGCTTTACTCAAGGCTCCACGGACAGAGAATCGGTAACGTTACCCATTTACGGGAACCACCCCCCTAACAGCGGGCTCGGGAAAGGGCCCGCGGACGGCGGCGGAAGTGCAAGTGAACCCGGCGGTGCCCGGCAGACAGCGCAGACAGAGCCAGGCCGCCGGGAGGCGTTGGCAGGCCCCACAGCCCAAGCAGCCACACTGGGATGACCTGGGTCGGACCGTGCCGGGGAGCCCCTGCCCCCCGAGCGGGCGCTCCGCGCGCACCCCTCCCCCGCGGGGGAAACGTCACCGCCGAGGCACCGCCCCAACAGCCCCGCCCACTGCCACAGCGAGGCTGCCCCGCCTCCTCGGGGGCAGGGAGCGTCACCGCCCCCCCCCCGGCCGGAAGTGCCCGGCAGCTGCGCCCCAGTCCCTTCCCCCGGGGCCAGAGCGAGGCGGGGCGCGTGGCTGGCCGCTGTCACGTGACAGGGCCGGGGCCACTCCAGCCACCTCCCAGGGTAGGGCGGAGCTGGGGCCGCGGCCGCTTCCTACTTCCGGTTGGTGGCGCGGGCTGTTGGCGGCGCCAAGTGCCCCCGGCCCGTCATGCGCGGCCCAAGCGCTCCTTCCGGCCCCGCAGGTAGGCCCCGGCCCCGGCTTCCCGGGCCAGGCGGCGGAGTGGCGGGC